GTTACGACCACTCGTCTCCGTCACTCCGCGCTGCTTAAGGTATGGTTTTGATTTAAGTACTTGTGATATAATTAATACACTTGTAGTAATGAAACTACTCGTGATGAACTTGTGAGTTACTTATAATCTATGGGGCTTAGGATCTATCCACCTTGAATTAATCGAACTCTAGTGTTTGTGGCGAACTCTAGACTTCTGATGTATTATTGTTTGTTTTCTGTGCTAACTTTGCTCGGCTTATTCAATGTAGAAGTATGAATACTCGCCACCGTAATCGTCAGCCATCCCCATCTCCTTCTCCTCCTCGTCGTCAGCGTCAGGCCCCTCCGGCCATGGACCTCACTCAGCTGATCGTTCAGTTTCAGCGCATGAATGCGCCTACTTTCTCGGGGACGGAGAACCCCGCAGCTGTGCTTGAGTGGATGAAGGAGCTGGATAAAATCATTGTTGTGCTTCCCCTTCCCGACCGTCAGCGCGTGTCTCTTGCGGCGTATCAGATGAAGGAAGACACCTCAGACTGGTGGATTGACCTTTGGGCTCGGAGACCCGAGGCGGAGCTTCATGCTCTCACTTGGGAGCAAATGAAAGTGATGGTGCGTAGTAAGTTCCTCCCTCAGAGCTTTTGGGACAGAATGGAGCACGAATTCTATCACTTGCAGCAGGGCAGTTCCTCGGTGGATGAGTACATCCGCACTTTCACCCGTATGTGCCTTTTTGCGGGTGATGCGGTGAACACTGATGCTAAGAAGGCCCGGAAGTTCCTCAAGGGTCTCAACCAGAGGATCCGCGAGCTAGTGGGAAGTCATGGACCGATGTCCTATGCTGATACTGTGAGCCGAGCCCAGGAGGTGGAGAGCTGTCTCATCCCAGTTGTTTCTATTTCATCTTATCCTCCTGCCTCTCAGCCGTCTCAGACTGTGGTCCAGTATGCTCAGCTTATTTCCTTGGCACCGCCCGGCTCTAGTTCGGGTAAGAGGAAGGCAGATTCCCACCGGGATAACCGGAAGGGAAAGCGAGGAGGACCAGATCGGCGCAATCATCCCTCTTCTGGCAACCGCACCTGCAAGAAATGTGGCAAGTACCATAGTGGCGAGTGCTTAGCCGACCAGCGAGCCTGTTTCAACTGCAACCGTCCAGGCCATTATGCCAGTGTTTGTCCGGAGCCCAAGAAGCAGCAGCAGTTCCCTCAGCAGCAGCAGCAGCAGTGTTTTCCTCAGCAGCAGCAGCTTCCCCCACCGCCACCCCATCAGCAGCAGCAGCCCCCACCGTTTCAGCAGAGAGCTGGGGGTCAGGCCCGTGTCTATACTCTCACCCATGATGAGGCTGCTCGTAATGCAGGTACCATGTCCGGAATGCTTTCTATATCCCACGTGCCTGTTTTTGCTTTGTGTGATACCGGTGCTACCCATTCTTTTATCTCGTCTCGTTGTCTGGAGGCCTTATCTATTAGCACCGTGCATGCTTGTGATCCTCTCGAGGTTAGTTTAGCCTCGGGAAAAATTATTATTTCGGATTCGGTGGTTCGCGGTCTCCCCATTTGTATTGGTGGTCGAATTTTGGAGGCTGACGTGTATGTTATTGATATGCGAGACTTCGACGTGATCTTGGGCATGGACTGGCTCACCCGTTATCGAGCCGACATCCGGTGCCAGGAGCGCGAAGTCACCCTTTATCCCGTTTCTGATCAGCCCGTTGTGTTCTTTGGGGTGAGTTCGAGGACTGTGCCTCGGGTCATCTCTTCTATGCAAGCTAGGAAGTGCCTTTCCAGGGGTAGCTGTCAAGGCTACCTTGTTTCTATGGTATCCGACGTCGTTGATGAGCGGGTGCCCGAGCGAGTATCCATTGTCTGCGAGTATCTCGACGTTTTTCCTGATGACTTGCCCGGAGGACCGCCAGACCGACATGTGGAGTTCACCATTGACCTGATTCCCGGAGCCGGCCCCGTTTCTAAGGCCCCTTATCGTATGGCGCCGAAAAAGCTTCAAGAGCTCAAGGCCCAGATTCAGGAGTTGCTCAAGCTCGGTTTCATTCGTCCGAGTGTTTCGCCGTGGGGTGCGCCCGTCCTATTCGTGAAGAAGAAAGACGGATCTATGCGTATGTGTATTGACTATTGGGAGTTGAACGCCCTTACAGTCAAGAACAAGTACCCCCTTCCCCGTATTGAGGACCTTTTTGATCAGCTGAGAGGAGCCAGCGTCTTCTCGAAGATTGATTTGCGTTCTG